ATATATATATATATTTGACTAATGAATAATAATAAAAATACAACCATTCTACTCTCAATAACTTAGGCATATCATCCGACCTCTTTAACTTGTTGTTTTGTGTTGAGTGTTTATTTTCTTCTTTTAAATTTTGCTTTGTCATTGTTAATATTAAAAATGGTGGTGAGAATTATGACGATAATAATATTGGTAGTGGTGGTGGTGGTGATAGTTTTTAGTTTGCAATAATGGTGATAGACAACAATAGTAGTACAATATTATAATAGTGAATATTTTTGTATTTAAGACAAAAAAAAATGTTCATGATTTATTGTCTAATAAGGAATAGAACTTGTGTCTATCATTCTTCATCTTTTTTTTATCTTGTTTTATGAATTTTTTTATAAATAAAACACAAAATAATAATATTTATCTATTTTAATACTATTATTTTTAGCAAATCATGTAACTGCCTAGTTGTGTGAATATTAATTCCAATATTATATGTATGTAATAATTATGTACATTATGTCATTAATATTATTATACATAAAACAAAAGAAATTTTTTTATAAACTTGCTTACATATAGCACTTTATATTTGCATCATATATTAAACAAAAAAAATATTTACAATAACGTACATACTTATAATCTACTTATTTCTTACACTAATTATATAGTGTTTACATATCGGGTTGATATAAGTTCACTATTGGATTAACGTGATTTGTTGGAGGTAGATAAAAAATGACTACTATTTGGCCATCTATGATATAACAGGATTTTGCTGGGTTGGTGAAAATACAAAAGTCGATATTCTTATTCCCTGAAATGTAATGGTATTTGCAAATGCGTCCATACCCCAACTGGTATCCGGAAAAAATGCAGTAATAACGGAAGTGAAAGGGCCTAGTACGGCTGGTAGATTCATCTATTTTTCATATTTAATTAAATATTTTAAACAAGAAAATAAGGAGTGAGAACAATTTTCAAAGAAATACTTATAATCACATAACATGCGTAGCAATAGTTAATACTAGAAAATATACATATAAAAATTTGAATTACACTTGCAGTGACTAGTCAGGATAAATGAACATTATAATATCAACCAACAAAAGGATTTTTAATCTTAACTCCTTACTCATTTAAATCCCCAAGGTTAAACCTCCAACTACAAATTAATTCAAACTTTTATTCTTATGGCCATAGAATAATATTTATCTTTAAATACATGAAGAAATAACAACAAAACGAGTCAAAAATATTTTAACAAAATTATATTATAGTTAATCATAAAAATAATTACGCTAAATAAATTTGAGTATTTATCATTATTTAAGCTTTAAATAAATAATATATACGTAAATGAAATATATATATTAAAGAGCACCAATCAAGTGAATGACAATGATAATCATTATAAAATAATTAAACAACATAAACTATGAACACCTTATTAATTATTATGAGTAAAAATAATCATAGGTTAAGCAAATAAATGAGGTTAGGGACACCTCACTAGATAAATACACATAAAAAAATAACATAAATAAATAAATATAGTAGTAAATAAAATTTTAAAGAGATAAAGTTCTCCTCCCCTTACCTTAAAGTCGTTTATTTTTT